TTGGAATTTTTTTTATTACTAATTATGTAACAACAAAATCTAAATAAAATTAACATCTAGACTAGCAAATTTCACTAAATTATAAAAACATTACAATTTCCAAAAGAAACATTTCCCCATATTCCTACCAACATCTAATAATAACAAAATTAGGTAAAGGATATTTAAGATATTTACGAATAATTTCTTTTTTTAATTTTATGAACAAAGAATTTAATGAACTTTTTGTTTCAAAATTACTCAAAGAATTGTCTGTTAAATTTATGGTACATACTCAACACCCTGTACATGAAAATTATGTAGAAATTAGGTTTTTGACGTCGTAAATACAAAAAATTAAAAATGAATAAAGCACAAAAAATACATATTCAAGAACAAGCTTTTATTTAGCTGTTCATACAGTGAACTGAATATTTAAAAAACAATTCTTCCTGATTGAACATTTTTGAACAATAATGAAGCTCATTCATCTCAAATTTTTAAATAAATAAATATAACTTTTGGCATTTTTACAATTACCTTTTTGTCCGATTTTTTTGATGTTGTTGTTGCATAACTTTAAGATTCGATAGAACTTTTAAAATTAATGCATAAAGTCTATATAAACATGGTTCGAAAAATTCGTAGCTTCCGAAATACAGGGTGTTTAAATTTACTTTCTAAAATAGTTTTTTTTTAAATATTTCGAACAATATTTGATGTATAACAGTGAAAATTGGTATACAAAGGTTTTTTGGTACGAAAAAACGATTTAGTTTCTTTTACCTGTTTTTTTTTAAGGTTCGATGCATTTTTAATTATTTATGATAAAATAACGTTAAAAAGTCAGTATCTCGATAATTTTTAGAAGAAGGCTCTGCCTGCAAATATTTTTGAAATTGAAAGCAGAATAAGGTTAAACGTCAATTAGTTGACAGTTTTGTTGTCTGTTGAAACCGTTTTTTTGCAATTGTGAATGCACGAAATTTAGTTTCTTTTACCTGTTTTTTTTTTGTAAGTTTTATAAAAATGCCATTTTTATTCTCCAATCAAGTGTTGGCGGATATTCATTTTGTGTATGGCTTTGTAAATTGAAACGCAGCGGAAGCAGCCAGATAATACGCACGAACAGATTTCCAAACAGATAACATCCAACTCGCTCAGTATTTGTAAAATAATTGAAAATTTCGTGCATTCACAATTGCAAAAACACGTTTCAGGTTTCAACAGACAACAAAACTAACTGTCAACTAATTGACGTTTAACCTTATTCTGCTGTCAATTCCAAAACTATTTACAGGCACAGCCTACGTCTAAAAATTATCGACTACTTTTTAACGTTATAAAATCGAAATATCTCAAAAACGGCTAACTATAACGAAAATTCACAAGAGAGCTTTTTTATGTTGAAAAGTGCGAAGAATCAGTTTTTTATTCAAAAAGCAAAAAATTGTACTAAGAAAAAAATTTCGGTCATTTTAATACACTACAGGTACAGTAGAGAGCGCCCTCTAGCGGCTACAGTAAAACTATGCCCATGGTTCGTTTTGTCGTACCAAAAAACCCTTGTATAACAATTTTCACTGTTATACATCAAAAATTGTTCGAAATATTTAAAAAAAACTGTTTTAGAAAGTAAATTTAAACACCCTGTATTTCGGAAGCCACGCATTTTTCGACCCATGTTTATATAGACTTTATGCATTAATTTTAAAAGTTCTATCGAATCTTAAAGTTATGCAACAATAAACTGAAACACCCTGTATAAGGAAGCAGTTACAAATCGTTTGATAAAGCCTTTATGAAAAATTCATGGCTTTTTATCGACCTTGTGATTTTTTACACAACATTTGCTATTTCTCAAAAACGGTTAGAGTTTAGGTGTACGTTATACATGAGATGTATTCAAAGGGTGTTTCCATTTAAAATAAGCAAGTTGGCATATACTTCCAGTACAACCGGAAATGTCACCATTTTGAAAATATTTTAGCCGAAGTTTTTTCAATTAGTTTTTTTAGCCGACACACCTACCGCAATTTCAAGTTTTCATAATTGTCTAAGAGCCGTTTTACACAAGAGAATTACTCCCAAAAATTATGGTCATAATTATGCCGAAAATTTTTGCTGTCGTATTACACGTAAAAGAATTCTTGTAAAAATTTTCTAAGTAAAAATATAAAACCCGTTCTACAGAATGTGCGCGAGAATCGGCGCAGAGGGTTATTTCCGTGCATGTCAATATCAAATGTCAATGTCAACAACATAACCTCACTTAACATTTGTGGCTGTGGTCCTGTTCGAGTCGTAAGAAGAAGCGTTTATTGTTATTGTTTATTCATAATGTCGTGGAATCGGGAAGAAGTTACACTGTTGTTGGAGGAGTACCAAAAATGGCCAAACCTGTACAAGGTGAAGTCACCCAATTTGCGGCGTCAGGCGCTGGATGCGATAGTCCAAGCATTGAGAAGATTTATAATATTAACCAAGATCTCGATTTCAAAAATAAATTTAAATCAACGACGTCTGTTGTCTTTCCGATTATATTGGACGTCATACCCGTTAAGGTTATGTTCATTCGAAAATATTACTCTAATGCGCAGGCGTATGATATGAATTACTCCGAAATCTTGTTTGCTTGTGTCATACAGGTTGTAGAGAAAATCTTCAATATTTTTCCATGCAAATTTTCGGCATAATTTTCGAAGTAATTCTCTTGTGTGTAAAACGGCTCTAACATGAGCTTTCGGCATAATCGATAGCTCTATGTAGGACACGATGTCATATTATTTTTTAGTGTTTTAAAAATCTAATATCTTTTGTTGCAGGTTATTCAAGAGATACTTAACTTGGTGTACGACATCAAGCCAGAAATCCACAAAAATTACCGCATCTAAAGTACTTGGTGCTTTTTATCAGTGTCAGTATTGATCCTTAAAAAGGAAGATAATACTTATATAGCATGTCTAGCTGTTCATTCCATTCGCCTTTTTTATAGGTGTATTTTTTAGCACATTTTTCGTTTGAAATATGAATCTATAACAAAATAGTTGCAATATATCTGTGTTTGTTGTATATTGTAAATAAAACATGATTGTTCATCATTGGACTCATTTTTTGATGCTATTTGTCATTGATTACTTTGGGTCGCTCAATCTACTGGTTTAGGGGTAGTTTTTCAAGAACAACTTTAAAGTTATGTGACTTGGAAGTCAGTTAACTTGCCCGAATATTCGTTTTTCAAGTTTTGGTTATCGAATTTGTAATCAGTATCGCAAAAATCACGATTTTTTTTTTTAAAATTAACCTGATTTTTGGAGTTCGCGATTTTTTTTTAATAATTTCAAGTTGTACTGATTTTTCCCTTAAATATGGCAACAATGCACTTTCAAATAGTTCAGTATTTTTCCTATTCGCTAAAAAATATTTCTCTGATTTACAGTAATGGTTGAATGATTTGAATAAAGTTTTAATCTTGAAATTGGAGTGTGTGAACATAAAAATTGTTTATTTCTTCACAATAAAAAATTCATGAATAAATTGGGAGATTACGAGCGTGGAAAGCACCTGTTTTCCGGCCATCACTACTAGTTTATTGAGCAATATACAGGATTAGTTTAAAGAACATTCAATAGCAAAATACACCTGTTTACCTTGCCGATATGAATCACAAACCCTTCCAAAAGCTAAATGTGATTTTTATGTGAAAAACAAATTCAGACATTTCGTATTTGAGAGTAATTGAACAAATGCGCTACGATATTCGAAAAACATACATTACTATACACATTTTAAAACAATGCGGATGTGTCTATCATCTGTTGTCTGTTTGAATTTGTTCAGAAGAAACGTAACCCACCCTTTTTGCATAAAAATAACATTTATCTTCGGGAATGGTTTGATTCATATCGGCAAAGTAAACTAGTGTATTTTGCTATAAAATGTTCTTTAAACTAATCCTGTATATTGCTCAATAAACTAGTACTCAAGACAGGAAAATAGGTGTTTTCGGATAAACAATTAGAAATTTTCAAAAACTACTTGACCAATCTACTCCAATGTTGTTGTGGTTATTTAGAAGTACGAATCCTTAGAATTTCAAATATCTGCGAGAAACCATTGTCCCATTACCAACAAGTGCCAAAACCTGCAGTTTGCCTTGGCTTTCGGCCATAACTTTTCACATAAATATCTAAAAATCTTATTTGAAGAGTTTTTTCGTTCCTGCCAACACCTTCGATTGAATCTCAGAAAACACGTTTTCTCATTCTTTGTAGTCGAATAATAAGTTTTCCCACAAAAATTGATGTACCCATTTTATGCGTCCTTATTTTGAATACCACGTTGAACAACTGGCAGGAATAAAACCAGACCTTACAGTTATTTCGCAAACCAGGGGTATTTTTGTCCAATATGTACTACTTACAGCCCACTGTTTGGACTGTATTTTTGTTTCGTGCGTATAATGGTGTATCCAAGTTTCATCTGCAGTAATTAATCGACGCCGAAACTTTGATTTATTGCGCGTCTACGGCCACCTTTAAATTCAGCTGTCCAAAATTTCACTGTGGTAAAGAGTCCCATACAGAGAGTCCAGCTCATCCTTGATTTGCGTATTGCCTTTCAAAAACAAACATTTAATGACAGCTCGATACTCGATTTTGTCCATGTTCACATCAAATCACTCAAACGATTGTTACATAACAACTGCGCTTCCAAAATAGCTGAAACCTTGGTGAGTAAATGTTAACAGATGGACAACGAAATTCACTAGCTTTTCTTTAAGAACGCTGCCATCTTCACGTTGAGGTCGGAAACTATTCATACCACCCTCGTAGAGCTTGTAATTTTGCGTAATTTCTTTTGGGGAGTTCTAGGTACCTTCGGTTATTTTTCGTAGAAACCAAGAGCAAACCACTTTGAGTGGTATAACCAGTAGGACACAAAATTGGTGTAATTTCTTTATCCAGAGTTCAGCAAATGTGTAGCATATGGATTTTAGGATGTACGTAAGACACAAAACATAATACAAAATAATTTAATGAACGAAACACTGGTACAATTTTTAACAGCAAACGTTTCCTGAGCAATTTGCTTAAAGGATAAGTATGCGAACATTTATAAAACTATTTTTTATAATTCATATGGATGTAACAAATATATTCTTTGGAGTCCTTACAAATAAAAAAATAAGGTACTTATAAAATACACATAGAAAAGGGCGTAAACTATCACACTGCGAAGTCTGAAACATACGCAGTAATTGGAAATATGTTCATTCTGCTTGGATTCTCTCTGGGTCGGCAAGCCTGCAAATAAAAATATTGTACACGAAAAACGACATAAAGATCATTATTATTATTCATAATAGAGCAGTTGAGCAAAAGCTATAGATTCCAAAGATTGGACATAAAAAATAACATATAAATCCGAACACCCAGTTTAAATGGTTTTATTTTAATAAAATTTTGTATAAGTACTTAATGAAGCATAATAAGTAAATGATAAAAATTTCTTTGACCTTTACTAATGTGTGGATGCACCCTGATGTGCTACGCATTCTCCAACGCGCCTAGGTATGCTTCTGATCAGGTGGTCAATGTCCTGCTGTGGTATCTCATTCCAGGCAACCACCAACTCCTCTCGAAGTGCTTCTAGAGTCTGAGGAGGACGTTGCAAATTGAGCAATCTCCTACCCATCATATCCCACACGTGCTCAATTGGGGATAAGTCGGGAGATCTTGGTGGCCATGGTAACAATGTGACATCGTTATGTTGAAAGAAGTCTATTGTGACTCTTGCAACATGTGGTCGGGCATTATCTTGTTGGAAAGTTGGATCTGCCAGGGTGTCAAGATAGGGTAAAAGATGGGGTTAAAGAACTTCGTGGATATAACGTTGCGCGTTCATGTTACCTCTGATGAAGATTAAAGGTGACCTGGAATCATAAGCTATAGCACCCCAAACCATAACTCCAACAGTGTGATGAACGTGTCTTTCAACAAAAAACTGCGGATTCCTCCTTTCACCACGTCGCCTTCTAAGCATGGCACGACCATCGTGCATGCCTAAACAAAATCGAGACTCGTCACTAAAGACAATACTGTTCCATTCCTGATCCCAGAGTGACCGTTGTCTGCACCACTCAAGGCGATTACGTCGGTGTTCTCGAGTTAAAGGGAGGACCCAGTGTGGCCGGTATGAAAACAAGCCAAAACTTCTCATTCGTCGGTAAACACTTCGCATGCCAATAGGTCTTCCGTGTTCTGCAAACCATTCATTTGCAATGGACCTGGTAGTGGAGAAACGGTCCCTTAAGGCCAATAATCTTAGGCGGCGATCTTCACGGTCTGTTGTTCTACAGCGGCGTCCAGTGCCCCTTGCTCTTTGCGTACGGCCTTCTCGAAGCCATGCCTGACAACACCTAACCACAGTGTCTACACTTCTTTGCACTCTAACTGCAATTGCCCGAAAAGAAAATCCAGCTTCCCGAAGTCCCACTATACGGCCCCTATCAAACTCACTAAGTTGACGAAATCGTACAGGTCTCCGTACTCTAGGCATCGTAACCGATCGTAAAGGATGTCAAGAACCAAAATCCGCCAACGTTGATTCTTTACTGCGGCTGAAATATTCATTTTTAGAGCGTTAGTGAATTAAAAAAAAAACAGTATAAAAACCGGAATTTACCCAACTGATAAGGCTGAAAATTTTTTCATTTGTTATTTACAGTAAGATAAATACACTCACCAACTTTTATTAAAATAAAACCATTTAAACTGGGTGTTCGGATTTATATGTCACTTAGTATATATAATAAAGATAATGTCATAGGAACACTAAAGTTCATCGTATCTAAACACGAGCGCCGGATTTGAATTTGCCGCCATTTTTTTTGTACAAATGGTATGGTGTTTACTTGATGACAGCTGTCATGTCCAGACCACGCGATTAGACGTCATCGAGCAGTATTCAAACGAGCAACGTTTAATTATTGTGAAAACTCACTACGAAAATGGTTAAAATTACGCGAAACCACTTCCCAAATTAAGTACAATTTTTGGTCGCAATAATGCGCCAAATGAGTCGACAGTTCGCCATTTAATTACAAAATTTGAGACAAGATTCACGTTGCTGAATGTGAAGACCACTGTTCGTCGCCGTCCTGGTCGGTCAATCGAAAATACAGTCGCATTGCGGGAAAGTGTGGCCGATAATCCAGGCAGTTCCATTGGGCATCGTGGGCAAGAATCAGACCTTACCAGACCTACTCTGCACCGAATTGTGATAAAAGATCTCGCTTGCAAGCAAGCAAGAACGCAGCGCCGTGAATTCGTTGATTGGGCGTTGGAGCACCACCAAATTGATGCGAATTTCTCGAAGAAAATCATCTTCTCTGGTGAGGCAAATTCTCAACTGAACGGTTACGTCAATAAGCAGAACTGCCGATATGTTCTTTCAAGACCGTGCGACGTGCCGCATAAATACTCGTTAAATTAAAAGAAACTGTGTTTTTCTTGAAAATCAAATCTCTCTTATTGACACCCTACAGTTGTGGCCTCGCAGGTGGTTGGTGTTGAGAGAGAAAAGTGAGGATCTGTTACTGTCGAAGATATCATGTAAAGCCCTGTAAGTGGTTATCAAGTCCCCACGTAAGCGTAGAAGTCAGCTAAATTGAATAGGATCAGTTTCTCCTCGTAACAACAGGTACAAGAGCGGTTCCAGAAGTACCGGCCTGACCTAGAGATGGCGATAGTTTTTTGAAAAATATCATTGTATTAGAAAGTATGCAACCTATAAAGCATGTGTCAGGTTTGGCAGCCATCAATACTGAACGTTTTTAGTGAATTTGTGAAAATGGAGAAAATTGGTCAACGTTATGTGGTACAATACTTTCATTTCAAAGGCCTCAGCCCAACCAATATAAAAGCTGATCTGGGTGAGTCTGCTGCTTCGTTTACAACAGTAAAATATTGGGTAGCAGAGTTTAAACGAGGCCGTATGAGCGGCCAAGACGAGCATCGCAGTGGTCGACCAAATGAGGTGACGACTCCAGAAATGGTGGGAAAAGTGTATAGAGCTCAAAGGAGATTATGTTGAAAAATAAATACACTTTTTTACGAAATGTTTGTTTTCTTCGTTGGGTCGCGTACTTCGGGAACCACCCTCGTATCTGTCACGTTGTAGCGTTGGATACCAAACACGTCCAGCGAATTCCATAATTGGTCTAACATAACTGTCCTAAAAGTTTTGGAAAAAAATTCATCGGCTTTAATTTTAACAAACACAAAATAATATCAAGTTGACATTTATTTATTTTGAAGTGTTCGCTTTACGAGGGATGTCGTTTAAGTTTTGCATATGGAAATAAAACAACACGGTAGGTAGTTTTAAATGACTTTATTGTTTTTCGAAGTATTCTCCACGAAGATTAATACACATCTGTGTGTGTTGGAACCCAATCTTCTTAAATCTAACATAACATCATCCCACATATTTGCATGTTCAGCCTTTAAAAATTCCAAGAAGGTCGCAGCATTTAACCTTGCAGGCAAAAGGTAGGGTCCCAATAGTCGATTACGGTAGATACCAATCCACACGTTCACACTAAATTCATGCTGAAAATTTCTTTCCCGAACTGCATGCGGATTTTCATGCGACCAAATATGTTGATTATGAAAATTTACCACTCCACGTCTAGTGAAGCATGACTCATCGGTCCATAAAACGTTACTTAAAAACTTCCTATTATTATCAGTTCTATCAAGAATCCACTGACAAAATGTGATTCTTCGTTCTCCGTCCCCTGGCTGTAGTCCTTGCACAGGTTGCAAATGGTAAGGACGTCTATGGTCATTTCTAAGAACACGGCTTGCTGAAATTCCCAAGGCACCAGAAACTCTCCTAACACTTGTGGTCGGATCTCTATCAAACTCACGCAGAATCATACGGGTAAATCTGCGCTGACGAACATTTATGTTTTGATCTCTTTGGAAATTTCCAAAACCATTTTCAATTATTTGGCGATGCACTCTTACAAATACTGGGCGAGTTGGATGTCGTCTGTTTGGAAATCTTCGTGCGTATTCTCTGGCTGCTTCTGCTGCGTTTCAATTTACAAAGCCATAAACAAAATGATTGGAGAATAAAAATGGCATTTTTATAAAACTTACAAAAAAAAACAGGTAAAAGAAACTAAATTTCGTGCATTCACAATTGCAAAAAAAACGTTTCAGGTTTCAACAGACAACAAAACTGTCAACTAATTGACGTTTAACCTTATTCTGCTTTCAATTCCAAAAATATTTGCAGGCACAGCCTACGTCTAAAAATTATCGAGATACTGACTTTTTAACGTTATTTTATCATAAATAATTAAAAATGCATCGAACCTTAAAAATCGAAATGTCTCAAAAACGGCTAACTATAACGAAAATTCACAAGAGAGCTTTTTTATGTTGAAAAGTGCGAAGAATCAGTTTTTTTATTCAAAAAGCAAAAAATTGCACTAAGAAAAATTTTTCGGTCATTTTAATACACTACAGGTACAGTAGAGAGCGCCCTCCAGCGGCTACAGTAAAACTATGCCCATGGTTCGTTTTGTCGTACCAAAAAACCCTTGTATAACAATTTTCACTGTTATACATCAAATATTGTTCGAAATATTTAAAAAAAAACTATTTTAGAAAGTAAATTTAAACACCCTGTATTTTTCGACCCATTTTATATAGACTTTATGCATTAATTTTAAAGGTTCTATCGAATCTTAAAGTTATGCAACAATAAACTGAAACACCCTATTTCACCTTAAAAAAAATCCGATAAATATTTTGTGCCAAAACATTTAGAACATACGTCAATACGAATCTTATTTGTTATAAATTAGTATAAAAAGTAATAAATTAGACTTTGAACAGTGCAAACCTGTGTTTTCGTTATAATATTTTGGCGCTTTATTGTGCTTCGAGGAATACGTTACCTTAGAATGGATACATCCTTGCTGATAAACGACACATCTTGCGGAGTTAAAAATACAAATTGTAGTTGTGGCCTGGATTTCGCATGATTGACCAGGATGTCTATCACCTTGGTTCGATTCAATTTGTCCTGAAATAAGACGATAGTTTACTAATACTTAAAGTTCCCTCCCAAATACGAGGGTTGATAAAATTTAGAAAGCAGCACTATTCCATCTACAGGGGTTGTCCGGAAAGTAATAGGACTGAGTCGATTTAAAAAAATTTATTGAGCCAATCGTGCTTGCCTTCCATCGGCCTTTTCAGGCGAGGAAACAAATAAAAGTCCGGGGGGGGGGGGGGGCACATCTGGGCTGTAGGGCGGCTGCGGAAGCGTTGGGATGCCGGCCTTGGTCAGGTAGCTGTTCACAAGAAAGGCGGTGTGAGCCGGGGCGTTGTCGTGGTGCAACTTCCATTCGGCTGCGATGTCTTGTCGGACCCGACTGACCCTTCGTTTGAGTCTCCTGAGCACTTCCACGTAAAACGGGGCGCATCCTGCCAGAAGTACCTGTCATACCGTCACCAATATGCATTTCAAAAAGTCCGGATTATTGTCATGTTGATGCAACAACCGCTCACAAAACCGCACTCTTGCTGGAAAATCGTCAGGTTGAAGGGCTTGTACACGTTGGACGTGAAACGGATACAGCCCCTCTTCACGCAGCGTTTGCCACACTTTAGTTTTTGATACTTGCACTTCTCTAGCCACGTCTCTAGTGCTTGTTGAGGGCTTCTCGTCTACGCGATTACCTCTACACGCGTGACCGTAACCGTCGGTTGAAGGTTGCACACTGACCTGACACACTGACCTCGACCCAGTTCTGTCGTCGGGTTGAGCTAGTGTCCTAGTACCACTCGGGGATCTCGCGGCTACAGGACGGTATTAAGTAATTTTTGATGTTGCAGAGCCCTTTATCTCGGTTCCCTTAAGACATTGGTGTATATGGTACTAAGAAAAATTGCTTATGTTTTCAAGATCTACACCCTGTATAATCTAGTAACGTTAATGAAGTTCCTTGAAAGTGTTATTACTATTTTTGATGCAGCTCTATCAGAACACATCTCTAATTTAAACCGTTTGCCTTTAGGTAATTTTTCACGTTTCTATCTTCAATATTCAAATCTGCGAAGTCGTAGCGTGGTGGTGTGTTTTGTTTTTTGTGCATTAAAGATCGGCAAAAAAATAAAGGCAATGACAGGGAAGATAAAGGATCCCGTGTCGAAATATTTTAAGAAGACTGATGCCAAATCTGGCTCGAAAATAAATAAAAGAGCAAAATGTTTAGGCTGCAATATGGATATAGTGCCCCTGGTGGCTAGAATGCGCAAGCATATTAACAATTGTAAACAACTAAAACAAGGAAGTTTTTCAGAAAAACAAAATATTCATGTATCAGATAGATCTGATACCGAAAATGATGATGTTTCTACGAAACCTATTTCCTCAAAGTGGGAGAATTGTGAAAAACGTAAATTTTTTTACTAAAAGTAGTGAAAACTAAAAATTTATTCTATGTACATTTTCCATGATTTTATATATTAAAAATACGGATTTAAGGATTCTGATTAAAACATAACAACCCTGTGTGTTTACTTTATTAAAAATATAAATTATCGTCCCTACGCTTTGTAGTTTTTTTCTGATTTTTTAAAATCCGCCCAACTTAATGACCCACCCTGTATATTTTTATTCGCTGTTGGCGTGAGTGGTGTTTCACTACTTATGCTTCAATCCTTTGAAGTGACTGTAGTTTCTTTCTCATAAATAAATTTCATTCAGATACAATCTAAAATACTTACCATATACACGTCAAATTCGTCAAGAAAGTAAAATGGAAATTCCATGCACTGCCACAGAGAATAGAGGAATGCAACAGTTGAAAAAGACCTCTCGCCACCAGACAGATTTGCTGTGGTGGTGACTCCCTGCGAGCCATGTTGCGGTTGAACTACCAACTCCAACGTTTCTTCTTTCATTTTTATGTCCATATATCCCTGAGAAAATACAGGTTGTTTGAGTAATTTTAAGACAAAAGGTTCATATAAGCATAGGTCGCAAATTGTTCGTTCTCAAGATAAAGGGTGTTAACATTAAAAAAAAAAAAAATGGTTTTTCGTAAATTTCTTAAATATCCTTTACCTAATTTTGTTATATACTAAGTGACATGTATAAGTACTTAATGAAGCATAATAAGTAAATGATAAAAATTTCAAAATGATTGCACTGCTTTAAAGCCCTTTGACCTTTAATAATGTGTGGATGCACCCTGATGTGCTACGCATTCTCCAACGCGCCTAGACATGCTTCTGATCAGGTGGTCAATGTCCTCCTGTGGTATCTCATTCCAGGCAACCACCAACTCCTCTCGAAGTGCTTCTAGAGTCTGAGGAAGACGTTGCAAATTGAGCAATCTCCTACCCATCATATCCCACACGTGCTCAATTGGGGATAAGTCGGGAGATCTTGGTGGCCATGGTAACAATGTGACATCATTATGTTGAAAGAAGTGACTTTTGCAACATGTGGTCGAGCATTATTTTGTTGGAAAGTTGGATCTGCCAGGGTGTCAAGATAGGGTAAAAGATGGGGTTCTAGAACTTCGTGGATATAACGCTGCGCGTTCATGTTACCTCTGGTGAAGATTAAAGGTGACCTGGAACCATAAGCTATAGCACCCCAAACCATAACTCAAACAGTGTGATGAACATGTCTTTCAACAAAAAACTGTGGATTCCTCCTTTCACCACGTCGCCTTCTAACCGTGGCACGACCATCGTGCATGCCTAAACAAAATCGAGACTCTTCACTAAAGGCAATACTGTTCCATTCCTGATCCTAGAGTGACCGTTGTCTGCACCACTCAAGGCGATTACGTCGGTGTTCTCAAGTTAAAGGGAGGACCCAGTGTGGCCGGTATGAAAACAAGCCAAAACTTCTCATTCGTCGGTAAACACTTCGCATGCCAATAGGTCTTCCGTGTTCTGCAAACCATTCATTTGCAATGGACCTGGCAGTGGAGAAACGGTCCCTTTAGGCCAATAATCTTAGGCGGCGATCTTCACGGTCTGTTGTTCTACGGCGGCGTCCAGTGCCCCTTGCTCTTTGCGTACGGCCTTCTCGAAGCCATGCCTGACAACACCTAACCACAGTGTTAGTGCACTCTAACTGCAATTGCCCGAAAAGAAAGTCCAGCTTCCCGAAGTCCCACTATACGGCCCCAGCAAACTCACTAAGTTGACGAAATCGTACAGGTCTCCGTACTCTAGGCATCGTAACTTGTTATTTACAGTAAGATAAATACATTCACCAACTTTTATTAAAATAAAACCATTTAAACTGGGTGTTCGGATTTATATGTCACTTAGTATAATTTGGCGGTGGTATTTATAACATTAAGGAGCTAATTTTGCCTCAACTTAAAATTTATTAAGTCCAGTGCGGGATCTGAACAAATATTTGTGACAAAAAATGTACGCCGCTGACTTTTGTGCAATTTTTATTATGCTCTTTGGATTAAACAAATACAACTTTTTTTGTCTCTTGAGCTTTTTCGTATTTCGAGAAAAAAGTCCACTTAATTGCATATCCCTGGTGCACACAAGGGATATGGGAAAAAGTTTCTTTTGGTAATTATTTTTTTTATATTTTTTTAATAGAGCAAACCACTTCTCTTACCTTGAACTGCCTCGATTCTAGTATCTTTGCGAAATAACATTTTATTGTCGTAATAAAATATTTTTCTGTCTTTTGATAGTAAGACTTTCTCTGTTCTAATGCCGTCTTCAATTCTTTTATGTCAGTTTGCAAGCAGCTGATCAATTCAGTGCAATTTCTTTGCTTCTCCTCCAATTCCTTATATCTCTTTTTGACGGCATTTATATTGCCCGTATCCGTTTCAATGCTCTCTATTCGATGCTTTGTCCGATTTATTTCATTCGTGATCCTTTCGACTTGCCTGAAAACAACAACAACAACAATATTCAATGACGTACTCGAAAGGGACAGAACCTGATTTTTTCTCTGTTGCTGCCATGGGCGTACATGAAAAATGCTACAGGGCGCCACCTGTATTGTGACGATAATCACGTGAAACTGGCGACACTGATGATTGTCAGGGGTTGCTAGAGAAAACCAAACAACACAAAGCTTTACCTTAAATCTGATATCCTATCACCGACTTTAATGGCACCTTCCTCCAATTTTTTCAACGTATCCATACACAACGATTCTTGTTCCTTGGCGGTTTTCAACTTCTCTTTATATTCCGCTATCCGCCTTTTGTCAAATTCATCACTGCTGGATATTCTTTGCAACTGCGAACGGCTTTCCTTAACTTCATTCTGCAACATAGAAAACGTCAATTGTTCCGAGAGTTCATCGCTTTTTGTATATACGAGCGCGGTCCGATAAGTACTTAGCGTACTAAAGAAATGCGAAATTTTTGGATTTGTTTCTCAAAATAGCCTCCTATTAGCTCGACTTACTTGATCCAGCGATGCTCCAACTCCTTTAACCCGCCTGAAAAATACGTTTTCTGGAGAGTAGGTCTCCGTGGCGGCGATAAGCTCTTCATTCGTCTCAAATTTCTGACCGGCGAGTCACTTTTCAAGTTTGGAAACAAAAAGAAGTAGCGCGGGGCCAAATCTGGAGAATAGGGTGGATGAGGCAGCAGTTCGTAGCATAATTCAACCAATTTGGCCGTGAAGGCGTTGTAGCACATTTTGCAATATTTGAAGAGTAATTTGAAGGCACCCATTCACAATTCTTTGTCGCAGGTCTTCTAATGATGTTGACTGAGTGGCATAGATTTTGCTTTTTAAATGGCCCCACATAAAGAAATCCAAAGGTGTTAAATCTGGCGATCTTGGGGGTCATTCAATGGCACCTCTTCTACCAATCCATCGATCTGTAAACGTCTGATCTAAATATTGTCGAACACGTAATGCGTAATGTGGTGGGGCACCATCCTGTTGGAAAATCAACCTATTCGCAATGATTTTCAATTATGGCTGTTAATGCAGGATCTATGGCGTCTTCAAGTAATTCCAAATACATTTCACCGGTCAAATTTCCAGGTAAGAAAAAAGGACCAACTAAATGATCGCCATAAATACCAGCCCAAACATTTAATTTTTGTGGCTGCTGAGTATGAACCTCATGATAAATTCTGGGATTAGAATCGGACCAATATCGGCAGTTATGACGATTTACTACGCCATTTAAGAAAAAGGAACATTCGTCGGAAAAGCAAGTGTTGAATAGAAAATGTTCATCGCTTATAATTCGTTCACTCATATCTTCACAAAATTGTAATCGCCGATCAAAATCGTCTTCATTAAGTTCTTGTACCAGGTGAATTTTATACGGATGAAAACTATGGGCCTTTAGAATCCGTTGGACAGTACGTCGACTATTTGCGGGTACTTAACGTAGGATCTACATAGACTTGCCCTAAAACCCACACTTCTATTGCTTCGTTCCTTATGGGATTTTCAATGTTGCGTTTTTTATTGGCGACTGACCCGGTTTCCCGAAATTTAGCTACAAGTTCTAGAACATATTTTCGATGCACGTTACTGTTCTCATGTCGCTCATTAAATATTTCTGCTGTTCTATTAGCGCACTGATTATATCCGAAAAATATTTCGATAATTTCAACTCTTTCTGCTGTGGAATATACCATGGTTAATTTATGTAATAAAGCGTTGCAAGTTATTTTAGCAACAAAGTTTGGTCAAATCAATCGCAAAAACTATGTACTAAATTCCTATTCAAAATAAGTACGAGATATTTCCTTATCTTTCTTCAAGAAATAACTTTTTGCCACAAAAAAACGCTCCAATAGCTATTTTCAACAACAAAATGATAAACGAAGCATGGGCGTAGTGAAGAAAAGCATTTACTTATTAAGTAAATTCTTTTAGTCAAATTTCTTCTGAAAGTAGTACAAACTAATCTGATGTACCTATTAAAGTCTACTTTAAGCTTTAAATCAATAAATTTTCAAAACTACTGAACTGAAGCTCATGTATTTTACATCATTATAAAGGGAATTGAAGGACCTTTAAAATAAGGTATCACTCGACCCCCTTTCCACTTAAGATTATGGGGGTGCCGTCACCCCCGCTTAAGGGGCTGCACGTGCTAACGTGATTTTTTGCCATACTTGTGTCCCCCTCGAAAACAAAATCGACGGGTCTGAGCGTTTTTCAAAAAAAAAACCCACCCACCCTGTATACAGATTGGAAATACAAAATAACCTCTAAAGATTCAATTTTTAAGGTAATTAAAAAATTAAAGTTGTACCTGTAATGATTGTATCCTATTGTCATACTCTTCTGTTGATCGACCTAACTGTTTTAATTTTTCTTCTTCAGCCATTATTGATGTTTTGATTCGTTTAGATTCAGCATTCAGCTGATCCAATTCCGCCGTTTTCTCCGTTTCGTACGTCTTCAACTCATCTAACTCTTGCTCCTGGAAAATTATTTTGATAAAGGTAACAAAATAACAATAAAGTACGGGGGAATCCCTAGTCTTTTCTAGAAACCCCGTCAAGCTGAGAAAAAATAAAAATGTTCAAGGAAGCAGTAGATAAACTCTAGGCGCTGAAGAAAGACATTAAACGTAAACAGTGATCAGCACGTGAACAGATCCCTCGAAAGCATCCACGGATATACTCCAGTCACTTTAGGTCTAAACATCCTCGGCAGTGTATTTCTAGTGAATCCACAGACCCTTTTTCGTGTCATCTTGAGACTAGAAAAAGGATGACTGTTAAAATAAGTTACCTTGATCTTTCATGAGCTCCCAGTACAAAACATCATCGATATATTTTTGATGTAGGAACAACAAATTGGTTTAGAAAACATCCACTTTGAACCTAAATTGACTGGAGTAACATCGATCTACAGACAAATTCAAGGTCACTAGCAGTCGTCGGCGCTCTACGAATCTGCACAGGTTTGGACTTGTAAACGTGATTGTAGATGACACGACAGGCATCTAACAGTTAATTCACGCACAGGATTGCATTGCATACGCATTACGCATTCAGTAGCGTATACTCGTTTTTCGCGAGTGGAACGTTTTGTTTATATATTGCCTAAGATACGATGTCTGACACAGATACAGCCGACGAAGTGGTTGACATCAGCGCAACCCCACCCAAAAAAAGGGCCAAGAAGCTACATTTAAGTGCAAATGAAAAACAAATAATATTAAATATATACAAAAACCAAATTCAAGAAAAACCCGATTTGGTCGTGGACGAAGTTATATGTAAGGTAGCACATATTTCTGGAGTATGTCGGTCCAGTGTTTATAGGATCATTAAGGAATATAGGAGCACTCACTCACTTTCTGAGCCAAAACCGTATCCTGCAAGAAAAAGGATAACGGACGGAGTAGATGACTTTGACAGAACTGCCATCAGGAGGAAAGTGCATAATTTTTTCTTCCGAAATGAGATACCTACAGTAGATAAGATATTAAGATTAGTTAATGCTGATGAGGATCTTCCATCATTTAAAAGAACCACATTCCGAAAACTTTTGAAGGAACTTAATTTTCGATTCTTGAAACGGGGAAGAAACAGTATGTTAATAGAGAAAGAAGAAATTGTTGTGTGGAGAAGGGAATACCTTAGGAAGATTCGGAAGTTTCGCGATGAAAAAAGAAAAATTTACTATTTGGACGAAACGTGGGTGAATGCTGGACATACTCAAGCGAAAGTTTGGGTCGACAAATCAGTAACATCATCAAGGCAGGCTTTTCTAGACGGTCTTTCGGCTGGATTGAAAAATCCTGCAGGTAAGCTCCTTCATCTATCCGGCAATTTAATTTTGATAAATTCGGGCAAATAATATGCTGTGATAGCAGATAATGTGTGATATTCTCCAAAAATGGTGCATTCGCAGTGTAGTCATTAGGAAAAAAACTTCGACCCTCTTTTAAGCGTTATTTTGAAATTTATTATCATTTTCGGGTGCAGTCAATTTGCTTTGAATGGGTTTTGAGAAGTTGCAAACTTCAATTTTCTACGTTTTTCAGTTTTTCATCAGGATTCCGTGACTCTTAAATTCAGCTAAATGAACTCAATTGCCTCATTCCTTCAAATTTAATCAATCCATAGTGTAAGGAATAATTTATTTCCAGGAAAAGGCAAACGTAGGTAGTGAAGACGGCTTTGTTCCCGAAGCACTGTGGGCCTTTGAATCAAAAAAGACAGGGGACTATCATGAGGAGATGGACGGCAATTCCTTTGAAAATTGGTTCTCCAAAATGTTACTAAAGCTGGAGAATAACGCTGTTATTGTACTGGATAATGCCCCGTACCATTCTAGAAAAATAGAAAAAATTCCCACAATGGCAACTAAAAAAGCAAACATACAACAATGGCTGGCCTCAAAACAGATCGATTTTGATGAAACAATGGTCAAGGGTGAATTGATAAGTATAGTCAATAGACATAAATAGAAATACGATTTTAAAATGATCGACAAAATGGCCAAAAAACAAAATAAAACTGTCTTGAGACTGCTACCCTACCATTGTGAGCTGAACCCTACTGAGCTGATTTGGGCCAACATAAAGCAATACGTGGCGTCGAATAATAATACTTAAAATTTTCTGATGTTAAAAATCTCTTTCACATCGCAGTCAATAGAGTTACGGCAGAGGAATGGAAAAACTGTATCCGCCACGTTCGGGCGAAGGTTGAGGTCAAAATGTGGGATTTGGACAATGTCATCGATACCCAAATTGAACCTCTAATAATTCATTTAAACGATTCAGATGATTCAAGTTCCTCTTCTGAATGAGTGCGCGCATCTTACTTACTAATAACTAAAAAGTGTAGTTAACTCATTTGTGAATCTCTAACTGAAATTTACTGTAAAAGATAATAATTATCTTGTATGAAATTTTTGATGACTACCAATAATATCTTGATGCGGTCCTGTAATGTCTCCTGCGCCTAAACACTCACTCACGAGCAATATGCGTGTATTTGTTTGGGTTTAGTTTCTTTCTTCAGCGCCTAGAGTATAGATAGATAATTCAGCCCATCAAGGCGAATGATTTTTATATGCTGTTCAAAACTGCAGAAAGAAACTTTGAATCAACATACAAAAGGATAAATTCAACTTACCAGGTAATGCACATTTTGTACTTCAGGTTCGGCTGCGGAACTTAGTTCGTCTAGTTTGCTACTCAGCTGAGTCCTAGCCATTCTGACCTTACTTATTCTTTCTTCCAACTTGCTCCTCCTATCTTCCTGTTCTTTGATCTCTCCCTCGAGAGATTCGGCCGATCTTATAATACCTTGTTTCTTTGATTGCAAGCTTCCTATATCCGCTTGCAATCGTCTGAAAAAAAATTACATCGAATAAGTATGGGAATCCTAGCGAACATCTTTCAAAAATGGTTCTGAAAGAATGTTTCAACATTATTGGAGAGAAGTTATTATCGCTAATGAATCACCGTTTAGTGTACGGCGAATTTCATTCGAAATTAAAATGTTCTACAATAATTACTTCTGTTCCGAAAGTGCACAATTCTGAGTCGTATACAAACATGCGACCAATTAATGTACTGCCAGATGTCGAGCTCTTAGAAGGAATCATACATGAACAATTTTTTGTTGTTGTTTCAGATTTATTTAGCATTAATGCTACAGTCCATCATATCCATATTACACAGTATATAACAAAATATATTGTCTTCAAGACTACATATTTTTATACACAATTTCATTACTATGAATTCTGGTTTTCCATGAGATATTTTTTCAATTTCCCTTTGAACATTTTCAAACTGACACACATCTTGATATCATAACCTAATTTATTAAATTCGTACAATCGCTTTTTAAATACTGACCTCGTTATATTAGTAGTAGTAGTAGTAGAAAGATTTATTTAGCACATTTGGCTACATAAACAGAATAATTGTAAACAACTTAGAACTAGTAAATTCAAGCCATATGGTGTATGATGTAAATGCTGGACAACCTATAATTGTAGATTCAACAAGAGATTTCTAAATTTTGTCAAAGTTTTCTGGTCTTTTATCTCCGAGTATAATTTATTATATTCAATCAACCCTTGATGGAATACAGATTGGTAGCATATGTTATACTTTTTGGTCATTAAATGGAAGTCATCTTTATTTCTGGTATTATGTAAATGATGGTCGACATTTGATGATGTTAAATTAGTTAGACTTGATGGAAATATATTATTTTTTACTTTATAAATGAATATCATTACAAGATATTTGATAAAATTTTTTACATTGAACCATTTTAATTTGCTAAGCATTTGCCTAATTGGAGTATATTTATCTTTATTTAGTGTTATTCTCATGCACTTATTTTATAAAATTTGCAGTCTTTCATAAATGGAATTATTTGCTAAATATAGAATAGTCGAACAGTACAAGAAATTTGGAAGAATGATGGTATTATAGATAATTTTTCTGCTATATGAACTAGGACATCCAGAAACTCTCGATAAATATCCCACTTTACTACTAATCTTATTTATAACTTTTTCATAATGAATATCAAAAATTAATCGAGAGTCAACAAAAACCCCCAGGTATTTAAAATTTTCTACGAATTCAATATCTTCACCATCAATATTCAATTGAACATTTGTACATTGTTTTTTTCCGATTAACAAGGCTTTCGTTTTACTTGCATTTAATTTTAGTCTGTTAGATGCTAACCATTTTGAGACAAGCTTCAAGTCTCCATTTATATAAGAGATACCAGACTGAATATTTTTAGTACTTATATAAATCATAGTGTCATCGACGAAAATCTGAATATTGCATTTTTTGACTATGGCATGTAAATCATCTATGTATAAAATAAAAAGAAGTGGTCCCAGAATACTGCCCTGTGGAACACCCAACGTATTTTCAATTTTTGATGAAATAGTGTAACTTGCATCCTTTTAAACAAATAATTTCTAAACCAATCTAAAACACTTCCTGTTATATCATATGCCTTCAATTTACCTAACAAAATATCTCTATCAATCGTTTCAAATGCCCTCCTCAAATCCAAAAATACTGCTATGACAACTTCTTCTGAGTCTATGGCTCTTCTCCAATTCTCAGTTACCAACTGGAAAGCTGTTTCTGTGGAATATTTTTTTCGAAAGCCTGCTTGCGCCTCCACTAAAATTTTGTTTTCTTCTATAAACTGCATTAATTGGTCATGCACTATGGACTCTAATAATTTTTCAATGTCTGCTAACACATTTACTGGTCTCATACGGCTGCATCTTTTAGAATTTTTTATTTTGGGAACTGGTGTTATTGTAGAGCATTTCAAATTTTCAGGAAAAGAACTGCTTCTCAGTGAACAATTCATCCAATTTAATACAGGATATCCCAAAATTTCGAAACAGTTTTTCAGCACGTTTTTAGTAGTGATTTCGGCACAGTTGTTATTTGATTTTAAATTATTTACTTTTTTTCTTAGATAATTTAATGATACGCTGTGAAATTTTGAAAGTGTATGCAACATTTCCCCCTGGAAACTGATTTTCATATAGTCAGGTGCAGCATTGGCAGTACCCACAATATCAACAATACTTTCCACAAAATATTCATTTAGTTTGTTTGCAATCACAAAAGAATTTGTTTCGGTACCGTTTTGGAATTGAACTTGATTTACACAATCATGCGGCTTCGAATTGATCAGTCTTTTTAAAGTATTCCACATCTTTACACTGTCGCACTTGTTATTATCGATTTGTTTATCGTAGAATTTCCTTTTTTCTTCTCTAATTACATATACACATTTATTCCTAAGAGTTTTATATACCTCCCAATCATCATTTGATTTTGTGAATATACAGTTATTGTATTGTTTGTCTCTCAAATTTTGAGCTGCCTTAATATTGCTACTGTAGTTTTGTAAATGAAAGTCTATACTTCCTCTGGTAGAATAATTGTGGCACTCATTGTTCAATACAATAAAATTTTCTAAGTGATTTGGAAGAAGATGATTTTTTAACATGAATATGAAAATGAAAACCAAGTAGGCTATGAAATTTTCGATATTTAACCAATGTAGTTTTTTCGGCATAAAATTTATTCTAGTAAATTTATTTTTATTAGAGATGATTCTCATAGCTTTATTTTGTAATATTTGTAATTTTGAAAATAAACAGTGATCAAAACAGTCGAAGAATATAACAACAATAAAGACTATTATTAGTATTGTTATGCGCGTCTTGAAGATAATTTGGAGTAAGCCGGTTTAAGGCGAACGACAACTTACCGCATATATTCCTTGGTGTCAACTTGCAAATACTGCGCCCTCCTGTAATTGGACGCGTACGTCCTATAATTCGGATCCGGATAATATCGGTCACCCTTGATCGTGACGCCCTGTTTGCAATTGTGCGGCACGGACTGTCTGTTAGAAAGCAATTCCTGGGCTCTGTCGTCGGTCGGAATCAACAGAATGTTTTCCGGGGAAACGCTGTCCACTATACAGTTGTTCACCACCGGATCGTCGATTTCTATCGCGTTGTACACGCTCACGCACCCTTCCGGCTCCTGGACGAGGTTTTTTCTGATGTCGTGTTTCTGCAATGAAGCAAAAATGGCGTCACGTAGGTCGACTCTATGCTTCCTACGCTTTCGAAGAAAACGGATGGGTCAAACCGTTTCAAAAGGCGAAATCGAATATCGTGATTAGGTAGGTTCACTTAGGTACGATGAATCTTCTTGTTGTGCCGTCCTTTGATAGATGATTAACAAGTTGTAGTGCTGACAACGGTGCGAATTGTTTACTGTTGTTCTTGCTTGATCAAGTTGTTATTTCTATTGGAAAATTGAGAAATTAAATGTAAAAAGTGAGTTCTAGTGTTGTCTTAGAGTAGTCTGAACAAGTGTGCAAAAAGATAAGCAAGACCAGTGGATTTAAATAAGTCGAATCGTCTGACGACTGAAAATTTCAGCGTGAGGATCGGCACAACGTTGCCAAAATACCGAAAACTACAGCAGAAATATGTAACATGTGCAACAAGTCGGTTCTTGATGACCAAGAAGCTCTATTATGTGACAAGTGTAATGTTTGGAAGCATAGGACCTGTTTCAAACGACTTATACGAAACTGAGCAAATCTTCTCAGGAATGGTTGTGTAACTTTTGTAATGCTGAAGATGAAGCCAAAAAGATTCCTCAGCAGCAAGCAAAAAACTACACCTTGGCGGATGTCATGGAGAAGTTGGATGCAATGGACGAAAAATATAACGCATTGTTTGAAAGATTTACTGAGCAGGTTAAAATTAATGAAACTTCACAAAAGGAATTAGATAGTATTAAAAAACAGTTGAACAAAAATGATTAAAGGGATCTCAAGAATAAGCTGCTTGTTCAAGGAGTACCTTGCAAAGAAGACGAAAACCTACCAGAAATCATAAACAAGATCGGTAACCATCTTGGTGTTCAAATAAATCAAAAGTTCACTGTTTTTCGAATGAATATCTAAAGTTCTGTTAGTTGAAAGTAAGGAGCAGTTGGAAAACTAGAAGAGAATAAAATTGATCTCACGCAATGTTTTATGTTCAAGGAAAACTGTGATATATTGGTGGTTAGTGAAACGTGGTTGCAGAAAAATGAAACCTTCCTTTTCGAGTTGGAGAACTACTCTTCTGTGCATTTCTGCAGGGCTGGGCGTGGCGGTGGAGTGGCCATATACGTAAGCAACACAATATCATTTTATGAATTAGATCAGTCCAATACTAATGACATCGTGAATTGGATGTGTATATGTTTAGGTGAACAAAATATTAAAATTAGTGTAGTCTACAAACCACCATCGTACAACAATAAGGATTTTTTTCGGTATCTGGAGTCCATCCTCCTTAAACATCCAAGAAATCATTTAATAATAGGAGATATGAACATAAACCAGTTAGAAGATTCTCCAACGAATTTCGACTACAAAATTTTGTTAACAATAAATAACTTTAAAATAAGCAATTCAATTTGTGAAGATCATGCTACTCGAACCACAGATTCAAGTAAATCGCTCATATACCATGTTCTCAGTGATCGTGGGGGTAAGCTGAATTAGTGTTAAGGAAAATGCCCTGTCGGACCATAAGCTAGTGTTAGTGAATATTAAAGATAGCATCAAAATTTGTAAACCAAAGGTAAATTATGAAATAAGATCGATAGATTATAAGCGACTTCAGTATTTTGTTCACCGGAAGGTTCAAACAGTTAATATTACTACATTTCAGCACCTGATCGATATAATTCAAGAATGTAAGTCGGAGAGAAAAAAGTATTAAGAATACGTGAAAATATACTAAGTGACATATAAATCCGAACACCCAGTTTAAATGGTTTTATTTTAATAAAAGTTGGTGAATGTATTTATCTTACTGTATATAACAAGTGAAAAAATTTTCAGCCTTATCAGTTGGACATTCCGGTTTTTATACTGCTTTTTTTAATTCACTAACGCTCTAAAAATGAATATTTTAGCCGCAGTAACGAATCAACGTTGGCGGATTTTGGTTCTTGACATCCTTTACGATCGGTTACGATGCCTAGAGTACGGAGACCTGTACGATTTCGTCAACTTAGTGAGTTTGATAGGGGCCGTATAGTAGGACTTCGGGAAGCTGGACTTTCTTTTCGGGCAATTGCAGTTAGAGTGCAAAGAAGTGTAGACACTGTGGTTAGGTGTTGTCAGGCATGGCTTCGAGAAGGCCGTACGCAAAGAGCAAGGGGCACTGGACGCCGCCGTAGAACAACAGACCGTGAAAATCGCCACCTAACATTATTGGCCTTAAGGGACCGTTTCTCCACTATCAGGTCCATTGCAAATGAATGGTTTGCAGAACACGGAAGACCTATTTGGTATGCGAAGTGTTTATCGACGAATGAGAAGTTTTGGCTTGTTTTCATACCGGCCACACTGGGTCCTCCCTTTAACTCGAGAACACCGACGTAATCTCCTTGAGTGGTGCAGACAACGGTCACTCTGGGATCAGGAATGGAACAGTATTGTCTTTAGTGACGAGTCTCGATTTTGTTTAGGCATGCACGATGGTCGTGCCAGGGTTAGAAGGCGACGTGCTGAAAGGAGGAATCCACAGTTTTTTGTTGAAAGACATGTTCATCACACTGTTGGAGTTATGGTTTGGGGTGCTATAGCTTATGGTTCCAGGTCAACTTTAATCTTCATCAGAGGTAACATGAACGCGCAGCGTTATATCCACGAAATTCTAGAACCCCATCTTTTACCCTATCTTGACACCCTGGCAGATCCAACTTTCCAACAAGATAATGCCCGACCACATGTTGGAAGAGTCACAATAGACTTCTTTCAACATAATGATGTCACATTGTTACTATGGCCACCAAGATCTCCCGACTTATCCCCAATTGAGCACGTGTGGGATATGATGGGTAGGAGATTGCTCAATTTGCAACGTTCTCCTCAGACTCTAGAAGCACTTCGAGCGGAGTTGGTGGTTGCCTGGAATGAGATACCACAGGAGGACATTGACCACCTGATCAGAAGCATGCCTAGGCGCGTTGGAGAATGCGTAGCACATCAGGGTGCATCCACACATTATTAAAGGTCAAAGGGCTTTAAAGCAGTGCAATCATTTTGAAATTTTTATCATTTACTTATTATGCTTCATTAAGTACTTATACAAAATTTTATTAAAATAAAACCATTTAAACTGGGTGTTCGGATTTATATGTCACTTAGTATAATAGCTGGATAGATGAGGAATTACTTGAAATGATCGATAAAAGGGATAAAATTTACAGACAAAAGTCCACACAACCAGAAAATGAGAATTTAAAAAAATTAAAAACCGAATAAACAATAAAATAAAAGTCTTGAAGAATAGGTATTTTCGGACCAAGTTTTATTTAGCTGGTAGCAACATCAAAAAGCAATGGGCGTTTATCAATAGTTTTTTTAAACATAAAACAGAGGGAGCTGCCTGTGATTGTCTGAAGAGTGGCAACAGTCTCGCGAATGATAGGATAGATGCAGTAAATAATTTAAACAGATATTTCTCTAATGTTGGTAGTTCCATTGCAAAAGAATTAGAAAATGAAATTAGAATATCAGGTGCAAATATTGAAAAAAAAAGAAGTGTATATGCATAATACAGTTTTGATAGCCCTCACTGATCAACATACTGGAATTAAAAGCACCTGGCCATGATGGCATTTCATTCAGAGATATACTCAACCTCAGACGTTATATTGTAGAAATAGTAAAATTAATTAACAACATAATTATAACGGGAAAATTTCCAGATGAACTTAAAATAAGTAAAATTACTCCACTTTATAAATCAGGTGATAAACACTATGAATAACTATAGGCCAATATCTGTGATCAGTATTTTATCTAAAATTGTCGAAAAAATTATCAAGAAAAGAATGACGTCGTTTATAGAGGAAAACACTTTAGCAGACAGTTACCAGTATGGGTTCATAAAAAACAGTAGTACGCTTGCAGTTGCAGTTGATTTTGTAAATTAGATCTCAAGGGCTTTGGATGAAAAACTAGTGGTTATTGCATTGTTTATAGACTTAAGAAAGGCGTTTGCTGTGGTAGATATTAATATATTATTGATCACAACTTATTTACTTAACAGGGAACAATATGTGAAAATTGGTGAAACAACTAGTGAGTGGTTATATAATGACTGTGGTGTCCCCCAGGGGTCTGTCTTGGGTCCACTATAATATTCTTTATATGTTCTAAAATCTAAAGAGTGCCAATCTTAATGCAAGGTATTTTACTTTTGCTGACGAGACAGTTCTTCTCTATAAAGGAAATCATGAGCAGGCTCTACGTGACGAAGTTAATTTAGATCTTGCTCTTTACTGTAAATGGCTGTAGTCGAATAAACTAAAGGTCAACATTGATAAAACAAAATATCTAATTTTTAAACAGAAAATAAAATAATCGAAAACCCTTGTATAAGAATAAATAATGTTATAATAGAAAAAGTATCGAGCACCAAATATCTGGGTTTAATTATCGATGAGAACTTGAATTGGTCTAGTGATATTAAACATTTTTTGGATAAAACAACATCGATGATAGCTGCTTTGTAGCGAAACAGAGACTACTTAACTGCAAAAAGTAAAATAAATATTTATAATGTATTTTTCTTTGCACACTTTATATATATGTTACCTATTTGGGGAATGTGTTGTAAAACTGAATTTCATAAAGCACAAGTTTTGCAAAATAGAATATTAAGAATATTGTTCAACTATGATTGACTTGCCAACACAGACAATATGTACTCAGGATTGAATGTTTGTAAACTAAAGCTGGAATTAGAACAATGTAAAATGATCTTCAAAATTTTAAACAACCAACAAAAGTGTAATACAAACATTTTGATCACACATGAGGTGCATGACCATGAGACAAGATCACATAATAATTTGTACCACATTCCTACTAGAACCAATATAGGATTAAATAACCATGTCACTGATGCAGTAACACACAGAAATTATGTAAAGACACTCAAAAGACACTTGAATCGTTAAATTTATTGTAGCTAAAATTCGCACTTTAAGTATTGTTGTTCTCGAGGGTAGTGTTTTAAACACAGATTAGAGAACTTTGTTTCCTATAAAATTTGTAAAAATTGAATACTGATTTGGTTCAAAAAAAAACTTCCCTAAAGACAAACACGGGTGTTTATTGAACCGCCCCGCGTATAAATAATTTTTTGTTGCAGTTTCAAACGTATGAAGAATATGTGTATGTGGCAATACTCGTTCGGTAAAAAGATCACTTACTTTAAAGAAGAACTTCGATGTGATAATTTGCGGCTGACTGCCTCCCGTCCATACTTTCCTAAAAATTTCTTGCAGCACTTGACTGTCTTTTTTGTTATCTACAGCAAAAGCGCCCAGGGTAGCTGGTCTGATGTAGCCTTCCACAGCCACGGCCCATTTCTTGTCTTTGAGTTTGATATAAGAACCTGAAAATGTTATTGCAGTTTCCAAATATACGATAGACGGATTCTTGATAAGGGAAAACATTTATAGC